GCTAGCAGAACATTGACTCAATGGCATGTCTCCTCACCCGATTTCAGGTCCATGGTTTTTGTCCAAGATTCCAAGTAGGTATGGACTAATTGAAAGAGAGAGAAACCCCCATTTTCTTCTCCTTTAGTTTACAAATTTAAATTTTCGGGTTCTTGTTTATAGGATCAAATTATAGATTGTTTTAAAGAAATTATTTCAGGGTAGGTAAGGAACCTACGAAATGAGAAAACTAAATAGGAAATACTCCGACCGAGAAAAATAGTAGAAATATCATTAATTAAAAAAAATGAGGTTTGAAAGACTACGATGACGGATAAATTTTAACGTCTTCCCAAAGATGATTAACTTGATTTAGAAACTTTCGCGAAATTGTGATTATTTTCTTTCCAACCATATATTTCAAATAAAAGAGAGTCAAGCTATTTTTCCTGAATGAAAGAAATGATCATGAGTCTATAAGGGAGAACAATTATCTTCATTAGTCTGAGATTTTTTTTGGGTGAAACAAAAACAAAGTCGTGAGGACTACGCCCAAAACGGATAATATCATGCCATTATGGAGATACTCGAATTACGAGGAGTACCGTAACAAAATATTCCTCAATGAAATCCTATTGAGTTGTTCATGTATAACTCTAACATTTCACTGTTGTCTCGATATAATAGGAGTGTGGAGCGATGGCGAAGAGAAAGGAAGAGAAATTTCCTAAGGGAATTGACAAGTGATGGTTCTAACTTGTTCTAAATTATAATTGTAATTTGAGAGTGCAAGAAACACACTAGTTTATCATTAATGGGAGAAATAGACCACTGTTAGGTTGACCAGCAGTATCATAGTCAAACTGAACTTTTAAACCTCATTGTTTGCATCACTGTTATTTTGTAAGTTATTTACGTTCTCAATTTTATCTCATTCCTAAAGTTGTGGTTAATGGAATTTGTGCACAATAATTCCTTTTCCTCAAAGTCGTTTTAAAGCACTTATCAAGTTTTTCATAATGTTAGATTTAAAAAATTTTAAAAACATCTGGAGCAACTTTAAATTAATTTTAAAGAGCACATATAACCGGATATAACTTCTAAATGATTTTCTCATCCTTTATTTTTTTTTTACATTTATTTAATTTTCATAAACAGGTATCATAGTTATATCAATATGATATATCAAATGTAAATTAAAAAGATAAATCATCGCATTCATCGATAGAGATAGATATATTAGAATAAGATAAATATAGATTTAGTCAGTTAAASTACTTATATAAAGGCCGTTATTAAATTTCTATCAACATGTAGATATTTCCATCGACATTTCTATATGTCTATGAATTCGACATCGACAGCAGGGGTGAATTGACATTTTTTTCAAAAAATATTATTAATATTAATAATTTTTAAGTTATTTAAGTCGTACTTAATTCTTTGTCCTTTTTGGAAAAAATAATAAAACTTTTTAATATTGGTTTTCTTTTTCACGCCGGCGCTTCCTTCGTCCCTGACCCTCTTCATCTGCCATGCCCTTCTTAATTAGCCTCTTTTTTCTGTGGTAATTAAACACGCAAATTTAAATCTTAAGAAAATGGAAAAGTGACCCTAATTAAGTTATACAAATTATTTGCATGCTTATGCCTTTATTCTAGCCTTAATCTTTGATTTATATTTTTTTACACGTGGATGGAGATTCGAATCTACCATTTTCTAATTGCCAACATACAAGAGTGGAGCTATATTTTGAGGACAAAATGATCTCAAATTGTAGGCAGGTTTCTTACCATCACAAAAATTTTATTTTTACTCTTAATCATTAATCAATTCAACTTTTATTCTTTAAAATTGTTTCAAAATTACCTAATGTAAAAAATTTCCGGTCAAATATACTGTGACAGTGAGTTATACACGTGGCGTAAGTTCTAATTATGTCATAAACTTTGAGAATTTTAATTATGGTGCCTGTGTCTTTTGAATTTTTCTTTTGAGACACTAGAAAATATTTATTTTAATTACTTATATCGTTTAAAATATTCATTTCGGAAGGATTTTAAAGTTTAAAAATTAAAATAAGAAATTTAAGAGTCTACTGCCTTGAGTCCGTTTACCCACCTAAAATCTTAACTTACCGCAAGATTTTTTTTTTCTTTTTTTTTTAATACAACATGTTGAGAATATATGTCAATTACTGTTGAGCTAAGTTCGTTTTGACAGAATTTGCCGCAAGTGAGATTCACCTTGATTTGAAAAAATTTAAAAATCAAGAGCAAAAATTAATTTTTGGAGGAGTATAGTTGAAAAGTTAGGACATTTTTGTATAAATTAATATTTTCAAAATTCGGTGTAAATTAAAAAAGATGACCTATCACCTGACTCTAAGTTGAGACCAAAGTGTTAATTTACTAAGATTTCGTTAAATTGAATGTAGATACAAATATAATAATCTATTTATACTAATAAAAGATTTACCTTCTACTAAAATATTTGTAATTGCGTGACTATCATGGATAGTTTATTGGTAAAAAAGATTAAAATTAATTGAAAGGAAATGAGTTAAAATTTATTAGAATGGTTACATCAGGCTCACTTTGACTTACTTTGACTTGAGCATTAAACCATATCAATTTGTATTCATTCCCAAGATATTTTAAATTCTATCATAAACAATACGAATACATTAAAATTTGGGAAGCTCCAACACCCAACTTGACGATTCTTTTGGCTAATATAGATTTATTGATCTTGTATTAAAATGGGAAGTCCTGTGTTCAAACCCATGTATTATTATTTGCTTCCTATTTATTATGATTTCCACTATCCATATATTGTTATTTCATCCCTATTTATTATAATTTCCAGGTGTGTCTTATGATTTTCACTATCCATGCAAATCGTGGTATTCAATATAGATTAATTCATTCTGTATTTGAACGGGAGGTCTTGTGTTCGAATCCATGTATTGTTATTTTTTCCATATTTAGTGTGATTTCCACTACTCATACATTGTTATTTCCTCCGTATTTATTATGATTTCTGCGTGGGTCGGCACCTCTCCAAGTTAATTTATCCCATATAAGATTCATATTTTCAATTGTAATCAATTAAAGATTGTTTTCTTAAATCTTGTCGGGGTAAATTTTATTTATAACCACCCTTTGAAATACAATTCTGATTGTGATAGGATTCAGGGTTATACTTGCCTAAGTCAACGGCTGGTGTTGATGAGGACGCCTTTGTTACCAAACATTAGTTCACGTGAATTACACGTGGCTTCCCGGAGCAGCTGTGTCAGTCAGCATTCAGCAATGAGGATGAAATGTCGTATACGACGCCGTTTTTAACATTTTGCAGATAACAACAAAAATTCAACGCCTCCTTTTATCTTTGTATACCGACAAATCACGCCGCTTCAAGTTTACTGGTTTTAACTTTAAAGTCGTATTAATTAGGACCCCCATAACCATTTTAGGCTTTTGATTTTTCTTATTTTTAGTTGTTGGTTTCCTATATATTTACTAACTATTTTTTGTTTTTTATTTTTTAAAAATAGAAAATAAAAACATGTTTGATAATCATTTTTAGTATTGTTTTTAAAAAAGTTAGAAAATTGAAAATACATATTAGAGAGAGAAAATTTTATGTAGAGTAGAGATGACAATGGTGTGGGTGCGAGTGAAGATGCTCTCCCCCATTCTCGTGTTCGTGAAAATTTTTAATCTCCGTCTCTACCTTGTTCTTGGGTCCGAGAGATGTTCTGCAGAAAAATTATCGGTTTTATAATTGATTTTAATCATTTTTAGAATTTAAGTATAAAAAAGTATAATAAATACATATTAATTATTTAAAAAATGGAATTGGGGACGGGAACAGGGTCGAGACATGCATTTCCTATTTTTGGAACCCGACCCGGAAATTTTTGTCTTCTCCCATGTAGAGACATGAAAATACAAGTTTAGAGATAGGTAAATAAACTTTTGGAAAATAAATTTTAGAAACATAAATAAAAAGATTTAGAAAAAAAATAGGGAAAGGAAAGTTAAAGACAAAAACAGAAAAATTTTAGAAAAAAATAAAATAAAAATAAAGTTGAGAGGAAAAGATGTGTTAAACAAAAAAAAATACCGTGGAAACACATTTAGAGATAAAACCAAAATTCAAAATATAATATTTAGATAAAATAAATAAATACAAAAAATAAAAATAAAGTTGAGAGGAAAAGATGTGTTAAAAAAAAATTACGTGGAAACAAATTTAGAGATAAAACCAAAATTCAAAATATAAAATAAATAAATACAAAGATAAATAAAAGTTACAATGTAAGAAAATTGCACGAAATATAATTTTCAGAAGGAAAAATAGATTACATAGATTACAAGAAAAAGAAAAATTATAAAAAATGAAATTTTATAGAGAAAAAAGTTATGAAAAATATTAATTTTTTTAGAGAGAAAAATGAAACTGCTAGGAAAAAAGAAAAACAAAAATATAGACAAATTTAAAGAGAGACAAATAATAATAAATATTCAAAATATGAAAATTTTAGACAGAAATTTAGAAATAAATTTTTTAGAGATAAATATGAAAAGGAAAAAAAGAGTTTGAGTTTTGAGGAAAAAATCAGATTTTGTAAAAAAATCTAACTATTTTTATTTGTTTTTGAAATTTACATAAAATTTCAAAATAGTTTTTGAAAAATAAAAACAAAAAATTGAATTGATTGGTCAAACAATTTTTTTTTTTTAAATTTACGGATTATCAAGCCAAAAACCAAAAATTAAAAATTAAAAATTAAAAACCAAAAATAAAACCAAAAATAAAAAACTAAAAACTAAAAATCAAAAATAAAAAACGAAACGCTCATCAAACAGTAATTACGAAGGTAAAAAGTAATAATATGAGAGGTATGCGACTCAAACAAGATGGTAATGGGAAGCAGAAAAAGAGAGAGTAAAAGTTTAAACAGCATACATTATTAATATTTTTATTATTACTAATATAATATTAGTTGTAAGTTCAAAATACAAGGAAGTGCGTAGTAGAGTACAGGAAGGTTTGTGGAAGGCAGCTTCTGAATTATCTAATTTTAGTATGTCTCCTTAGGCTTAGTCCTTACCCCTATCATTATTTACTGCTTCCAGTTGCATACATATAATATTATATAGTTGGGTTTTTTAGATATAGATATATTTTATATTTTATATTTTATTTTTGGTCTCTCAGTTTCTCCTCCTCTTGAAGACTGGTTTAGTAGCCTCCTCCTCCTCCCTCTCCCTCAGATCCGCCGCCACTTCCTCCGCCATATCCACCGCCTCCACCAGATCCACTTCCTCCACCGCCAGACCCGCCGCCTCCTTTGCCGCCGCCGCCGCCGTAACCACCACCGCCTCCTTTGCCGCCTCCTTTGCCGCCTCCACCAGAGCCGCCGCCTCCTTTACCGCCGCTGCCTCCACCAGAGCCGCCGCCTCCTTTCCCGCCGCCGCTTCCACCGGACCCTCCGCCTCCTTTCCCGCCTCCGCCATAACCTCCGCCACCGCCTCCTTTGCCTCCATGACCACCTCCACCAGACCCGCCGCCGTGACCGCCGCTGCCGCCGCTTCCCCCACCTCCGTGACCGCCTGAGCCGGACCCGCCGCCGTGACCGCCTCCCTCACCTCCGTGACCGCCTGAGCCGGACCCGCCGCCGTGACCCCCTCCGCCAGATCCTCCGCCATAACCGCCACCGCCTCCATGTTTGTCTTCTGCCTCGTGGCCCACATAATTCACTGAAAGTGAATCCAATAATGGATTGATTAATTGATATCAAATGACACCGGAAAAGTGATAATTATTAGATACGTACTCTTTTATCTATTTCTGTCCATGCAACATGAACTATTATTATTACGTGAATTTACTGTAACCCATCCTCCTCTTAAAACATCCGCAATTTAAATCTTTTAATGAATTTAGTGATCGATCATGCTCTTTAATATGATAATCAAATTTCGAGCTCACAAGTTAAACTAGTGACTAGTACTGCAAATGAGATTACAAATAAATGAGAGAAGGTTAAAGTACTGATAGAAATTAAAACATAAATTTTGTGCTTTTTTAAAAAAGGTGAGAGCTTTAAAGTATTGATATATAAAAAAAAAACAAAGGAAACAAAGAAATGAAAGACAAAATAAACAGTAAATACCTTCTTTTTCATCCTTAGTTGTGTGGGATTCTATAGCCCACGAGATAACGAGAGCAGAGAGAAGTAGAAGACACAGAAACAGAAAACCTTTGGACTTCATTGTTGAGAACAGAGAAGCAATTTTGAACAAAAACTGGTTTGTGATGTTCAAAGGCAGCTGCTATTTATAGAGGCAAAGGCCAAGGCTGCACTGCAAACGACAAGGATTGTCCTGACACAGCATAAGATACGACTAAAATGACATTAAATTTGTAGGTGATCGGAATTTTGAGGTGGCTGGAGAGGCTTTGAATGTTGATCAGTATCTTATCAGTTCGCTTCTTCTTTTCACACACACCATTGATTCTACGGGAGACGTGTGTGTAGTTAGAGGTTAGAGGTGTCCAAAGCCTTCCAAGTTGTGGCAACTTACCCTCTCAGACTTCACACTCTCTTGCCAAGTACTACTTTTGTTTTATGTCATTAATTAATCTTCTTCCAAAACTTACCTCTATCTCCATTTTTCCTATTAATTTTATGTTTTTCATTATTTTTTTATATTTTAAATTTTAGTATTATTGATCCTCAAAATTAGTTAAACTTTTGTTTAGGGGAGGGCATGTTTGTAATCATGACTTTTTTATCAGAGATTGATGTCAATTATCGCTCAACTAAACTAGTTTCACATGTTGATAATAATCCATCGAAAAGACATACCTAAAAAAAGAAGATAAATCTACCTTCAAAATCATTTTTTCCCTAAAAAAGCAAACTTATTAGAAAGTTATTACAAAATCAACTATTAAAACAATTCCCCGAGACTCAAAGATTCTAATATTTATAATTTGTAATTGACTTTTTTTTTTAATTATGAGCATTCAGATTAGTTTGTGTGCACTTCGACAAATATTATGGAACAACTGTTTCATTATACTACATTTTGTTACATTTAGGGATGGTAACGGAGTCTTCCCCATCCCCGTCCTATTGGGGATTTTTTTCCCATCCTCACCCCCGTCCCCAAAATTTTGTGGGCGGGGACGGGACGGGGATTCCCCAATCGGGGACGGGTTCCGTTATAAATTTTTTAATTTAATTTTTAATTTTTTAATTAATTATTATTATTATTAGTATAAAAAGTGAAAAAAAGTGCATAAATGAGGCGTTGGCTTAAGTTTTTTTTTTATAAAACAAATTAAGAAGTATTTATAAAATTAATATATATTAATAATATTATATAAAAAAATAGAAAAATAATAAAAAATTAAATGGGGCGGGGTCGGGGACGAGGACGGGGTAGGGGGATTGATCCCCGTCCCCGCCAGGGAATCCCCAACCCGATCGGGTCGGGTACCCGCGGGGATCGAGTCTCACGGGTATTTTTGCCATCCCCTAGTTACATTTGGTTGTTAAGAAAACACATCAAAGATTAATTCCTTCATAGTCGGGTTTGTGTATCCATTATTCCCTCTAAATTCTTTTGATTTACCTTAATTAGAGAGAGATGCCAATTATCGCTAAACTAAAATCATGTTTGGCTATTACTGATCTACCTCTTGACAGTACTTTATGGCGAGCAAAATACTTTGATGAATCACGAAACTTAATGGAAATTGCTTTATATTAGTCAGCGCATTGGTCATAATCGTAGAAGTAAATTTACAGCTATTGAATAATGATCTATATCCGATAACTTGAGTTATAATTAGGTATACCAATGACAATTAATATCACAGACTTCTTATATCAACGATAGAATTGCTACTTTTATTATTGCTAATATTACTAGTATGTCAAGTGTAAAAATTGACTTATTATGAATATATATTATCAATAATAGAATTGCTACTTTTGCTAAAATTTGTTTATTATGGATATATAATAAATCAATTATAACAGATATACATAATATTATATATATATGTTATAATTTAAAGTTATTCGAATATATCAGCTTTATATTAGATATATCAGTTAATTGATATATCTACTTATATTAGATATATAAGTTAATCGATATATCTAGTATGTAATAAATTAAGTTAGGTTAGTTAATTAGTATATATCTCACAATTCATCAATATATATTAGTTATTTAGCTAATATAAAT